TAATGTTCTCGTCAGACCTTAAGTTTTCGACATATCAAGGGCTCGTGTCTCACAAAAAAGAACCCATTTAATCTAAAAATGCCTCTTTGATATTTCCTACTGCATTAAAAAGGCCTTTTCTTCAAATAAATACCTTTTTTTCATTAGATAAATAGGTTGCCTATATATCTAATTAAAAAAGGGTATTCATTTCCAACGAACTCGGAATAGAAATTCGATATGTGGTGAAATCCGGTTATTATGACTCCGCTTATATTTACCAACCGCCTAATATGAAGTAATTACAGTGTAAAGTTTGGTTTTCATGTGGTGTAATCTTTATCTTGTTATTTGGGCTAATAAAATTATTATTAATATTATTATAATATACATATTATATTAATGGATAATAATGACAAATAAACTGACGACCTAGTTTAAAATTACAAGGACTAAGTTTTGAATTAGATGGCGCAGTAGAGTTTTAAGTCCATATGATAATAAGTTTCATTTGTTTATTGTAAATATATGTATTGTATTATAAGATATTGTATTAGTTTACGCCATTTGTTTCTGATTGATATCTGTATCATAACTCACAATGTCATTAAAGCGAGAACATAGTTCCCTATGGACATTTCACTGAAGAAAATAATAAAATAAATCAAAACGTAAATATTATTGGGCATTATTAATTCTGGTATATGAAAACAAATAATTACAAATTGTTTCCAATAATAAATGTTTATTGTTTAGAAAACAATGATGTAAGTGATGTATGATTTCGTTAATGGGAGTGAGTTAATGAATGCTTCGCTACATACGAGTACATATCAAAACAACGACAAATGAGTGCAATCAACCCTTAAAAGCCTGATTTTTTAAATTAAAAAATATATAAATGTACCCTTTACTGTGTTTACTAATGGGGAAAAATAGTAAAAAAAATCAAATCTATATTTTTATTTATTTATTTGAAAAAACAATGGTATTTTTTTATACTTTATATTTTGATACTTTAGGCATTACGGTAATCAAAATATTTAAATTTATCTAAGAATGAAACAATGCAAACCCCGGTATCAAATTTTAAACTTCAGGTATTTAAGGGTTAAGCCATACAATAAAAGTCAATATGATCTAATTCTGCCTTATCCGTTTTTTGAACTGCGAATGAACGAACTAAAAAAAGACGTAGTTTACCAAGGAGATGTTGAAACAAAGTGACCACTTCAAGTCGCGGACTATAATACGCAATATTATATACACGCTATTATCTTTTCTACTTGTCAAATACAGGGATTATACCTACACTATCTATATATTTGTAAGTTTTATCGCAATATTAGAGAGACTACATTATATAATAAATCCATTACAATGTAATTTCTCAAATATTGGCTCTCCAATCTTCACGATTACTTTTATTTTTAAAATAGAAAAAGTTGCTGTATTATTCGTAAATGAAAGGTAATTTTTTCGTTTTTTTTTTTAAGTTATTGCCTACTTTTCATTTGAACAGAAAAATTTAATTTGAAGAAAACTACACGAAACTTTTCTAATTCGCTTATTACTATTAGTAATTTTTACAGTCATTTATATTATTTATTTAAATCGCGAGGAAAGTATTCCATGAAGATTCATATACTTTTGACTTTAGCTACAACTTTATTTTTCCAGATGAGCATATCTGCAATAAAACATATAGGTACACGAAAATTACAACAAAGTGATAATTAAGTAACATACTAATATTTTTAGTGATAAGTTACCGTACGACAATCCAATATGTTACAAGCAAGTAAGTACGTTTAGCTTGGAAATCAATTCTTGACACGAAATATTAAACGTTTCATTACATTATTATAGATTGAATACCGCTCTGACTTGTGGTTTAATTTCCAGGACAAACAACATTTGATTTATGATCGGTATTATCTAAGCTTGGCAAGCATCGTGATTCGATTTATTAGATAATTGGCATTGAAAATGTACATTATTTTAAAATAAATTTTTTAGTCATCTTGAGTCACGCATATTTAGCAAATTTTTAAATAACATAAAACAAAGTCACTGTCCGCGTCTGTTTTTTTCTTTGTTTTCTTCGAACCAGGCAACAAACAGATTTTGATACAGAATTCATTTAGTTTTTTTTTTAATTGTATGTAAAGTAGATACATATAATACATACATATAATACACTCTAATTAAACTCGTGTATAAGTGGATTATTGCAATTGAAAAGCCGGGGTTGGTAGCAAACAAGCATACAGCCTGTCTGATAGTAAACGGTTACTGTAACATATAAATGCTGAATATAAAACAAAATCTTATACGAAAAAAATACAATAACGTTCCCTAACATGGAAATATCTGAAATCTATAAATATCTGCTCGTTGAATTCTGCTTTATCTCACATTGAGCATAAAAAAAGTGTCACTAAGGATTTATCAGCTTATAAAACCTAAAAGTTATCACATAAATACTTTTACGATTCAATGTGGAACACCCTAAAGTATTGTCGATTTATTAGGGTGCGTATGGAACATAGATAAGTCAGACGAAACATCGTAGAACAAAAAGGAATACTCTCTTTTTACACCTACTTAGTATATATTTAGATCCCCCTTTGAATAGGGTACTGTACCAGAACGGTACAAAGAAACCCATTTAGAACTTTGTGTTTGGTATCCGACAGTATATAGGTATATAAGTATGCTACTATTGTTGTTTTCAGTATCCATTAAACTAACATAAATGCTATGACTATCAACTTGTAACTTTGGTACAGTTAGCTTGGTTCAATATATAATATAATATGAAATGTCTTAAAATAAATTACAGCTGTATATTCTTTGGATTATCATGTCTGTCAGTCAAGGAGATTTTGTTTAGAAACAGCTAAAAATATCAAATTTAAATTTATATCAATCTTGCCAAGTATTTATTGTAGAAATTTTTGCTGAAAAGTATATTGAAAACATTTTTAGAATCGATCAGTGATTCCAAATATTATCTTCTCTAAGTACTTCATACGCTAGCCTCGAATCAGATTTTTTTTATTTTCATATAAAATAACCTCAGTATTTAAATATTTATATTAATTAATCAATACATATAATAAAATCGGAACCTGGTCGCTTTCTGTACATGGAAGATATAAAAGAAAAACTATAGTATTTAGGGGCTTTATGAACGCAATAGAACCCAAAACAATGGTTTTTAGAAATTTTGTCTGTTTGTCTGTATATCTGGTTGTCTGTACGTTTCTGCACGCTAATCTCAAACCCGGCTTAACCGTTTTGAATGCGGTTTTACACTAATGCGTTGCGGTTTGTTCCACTTAACATTTAGTGTTTGTTTTATTTCAATCGGTTTATAAATACAAAAGTTATATCAATCTAAAAAATCATATATAAAATGCTATAAAATATATATATATATTTTTTTTTTATTTTATTAAAGTTAACAAACAGTAATACAATATATAATTATAATAAGATTACGTATACCAACAACGTTAACTACAGATTGCTATATGTATATAAACATGCAAATATTGCCGAGAAAACATTATATCTATTAATTAAGTTAAATTATAAATAACATTTTATTGCAAAACAACCAACAAAAAAAAAAAAAAAAAAGTTATTTAACAATACACATGTATTTTATAATTTATTAATTTTCGCATTACTAAATTCCTGAGAGAAATTCTAATTGTTTCTACCATTTTTTTGAAAGTTAATGGTTTAGTCAAATATATCATATTATAAAATTTGCTATTTATGGGTGAACGAAACCGGAATTGGGGTATCTGTTAATTGCAAACAATTCGCGTGTATATATACAGTCATATTTACCCTGAATAATATCATGAATCATAATCTCTAGTTGTATGCGCCTTGATTTTAAGTCTTGCAAATTATATTTATACAATAATTGGTCATATGAACGACGGTTATGAGAAAATTTATATTGTAAACGTCGCAAAAATTTTTTCTGTACCATTTCAATTTTATCTTAAAACTTATAAATAGGATTCCATATAGTTACAGCATATTCCAATTGAGATCGAATGTTTTTATATAAATATAAATAAGTATCTTAAAATGTACATCTCATTACAAAACCATACATTCTGTATGCCTTAGCAACAATATTATCAATATGATTAGTTTTAATGTAAGACCTAAATCTTTAATTGTTTGTACATTATCAAGGACACAATATATATTTTCATATTTTCTTGTGAAGGTTATAGTTTTGCATTTATGCAAACTGAGAGTTAATTTATTAATTTTACTGAAACGGTTTATCAAAATAAGTGTCGATTATATATAAATTTTATTTGCATATTAAAATTTTACAAAAATTAAAACATGTGTAAATATCATTTATAAATTATTAGTCATCTGAACTTATAGGTATATTATTAGATTCATATCCATTAATAATAACTTTCTGGGTTCTGTTTGTGATATATGATTTAAACCATCGCCAAAGATTGCCTCGTATACCGTTATCCTTATATATAATCTAGTGTGTCAAATAGATAACTCGTATATAATAAAATTAAGTTGCTATATATATATAATATTATATATAAATATAATATTATATATATATATATATATATATATATATATATATATATATATAACTGTCTTTATTAGTAAATTTAATAGTTTGTACCTTCAAATAAGAAATCTGCAAATGTTATGATTATTTTTGAAATATATAAATGGTATTTTATAAACAATTTATTATAAACAAAAGATTTGTTCAATTTGCATTTGCAGGCAAATTATTATAAACTAAACTGACTTATTATTACATAAAATAGACTAATACTAATGTTAACTAAAATCAATTGTAGTTTCAGTTCTTTATAGAATAAATTCAGCAGGATTTATTTTTTACTTGTTAAATTTTTAAAAGCAACAAAGTTATCAATTCCACTGACTAAATAAAATAATATAAAAGTTTGTATATTATTTAAACACAAAGTTATACATACCGGAATATTTTGTAACTGCAATCCATTTAGTTTCACTTTATACGAACTTTATAGATACGAAATAAAAACTTAATAAATTACTACGATAATACGTATTGTTACGACACGTCTAAAACATCTAAAATAATAGTTGCTCTAATAATCACAATAATTGATAATATAACTTATGAATTTTGAGAGTTTAACTTATTTTCGAATACACGAAATCCGTAGTAATAAAGTTTTTAAAAGTCTTTCAACAACACCAATTTTATAAGGGTAAATTTATCGCAATCAGAAATTTAATAACCGTGTCATGAAGGTAAATCCTAGTTGAATGTTTAAGTTTTTAAAGGGAAATAAAGTAGTTGACTTCAGTAGCGAAATACGACTTCGACGTTATTTCATGTGGCAGAACTTCCGACGTTTGCAGCGAGCTCGAGTAGATCTCTGTGCCGCGTCCGATGGCGGCGCATGCCCGTCTAAGTACTCATCATTTCTTTTTTCCAATCCACATTACAGATTAACAAGAAAAGTTCTTGAAAGTTTTGGTGTAATACAAGTAAATAGTGATTCTAAATTAGCACAAGGTATAAAAAAAAATCATTTTAGATAGTATCAAGTTATGCATTAAAAATAAACATAAGCTTTGTTTTACAACGACAATCGAATTCTATCGGACGAAAAATAGTACAACGCCAACTTGGGCGTAAACCCTATCGATCGAAAAAGGAATCATCAGAATTAATGCAGAATAATAGGCGACGATATTGCGCAACATAGACACAAAAATTTTGAAAAACTTCTGCAAATGAAGTCAATTGTAAATTATGTTGTATATAGAGAGGCTGAAATACAAGTCATTCATAATATATAATACATATCTCCGAGATTTATAAAACGTAATTTCTAAGTTATGTGTTTAGTTTTTTCTGTAAATAAATATAAAGATTAAAAGACAAAAATAAATTATCGACTAATAAAATAAAATATTTTCAATACAAATAGGTATTTGGGATAGCTGAGTGGGCAGGTATTACAGCAAATCTGCTGTATAGGCACTCAAAGAGCTAGCTAACCAAGTGGAATGAATCAACCACAAGCGTCGAGCCTCATCTCAGGTTTCATAATTAATTGAATTTAACGTACGCCAGAGTTGTTTCTACAAAAAAAGCAGATTCTCAATTCATTTTGTATGTTCCAGAAAACTTTTGTCAATTCTGGACCAATTTTGATGTATTTTTTAGCGTTGGATATGGTTTAATTAGTGTTAGTCCACTAGTGTTGGTCCATATAGATTCAAGACTTAAATTAGGGAATTCTTCTATATCAAATTGTAAGAATATTTCATAAATTGAAGAACAACGTTTTTCTTAATTTATAACACTTCTTGGACACTAACGTAAAATTACCGAATTGATTTACTTCTATTTTAGCCGAGAATGCTCATCGTTCGAGCGTGAGCTTGACTGCGCACATTAGGCCACTAAGTGCGAGCATAGCTATTTTACTTATATTATACTATTTTGTTAATAAAATTTTCTACAAGAATTTTCAATGTTTGTACCCAAGTTTAATCAAAGAAAATCAGTCGGGATTTATGTAACTTTAAAATGTGCTTTCACTGAATAAAGAAGTGTGCACCACTCTGTTCTTAATCGTCAAATGGAGTCTGAACTCGTTAATATAGAACAAGAACGTAGTCATAATACATAATAATATAAATTCATAGTTCAAGTACAATTGAGACGAATTTACTGACATTCTGCTTATCAAAATCCATCAAACTCTTCAGGATCTCTAATGTAACGTATAGCCTACACGTTTCAGACATATTTAAATACATTATTTTTATGTATATCTAAAGACATTACCCTTTAAATCAATTATAAATAAAAATACAAGTTCCATTTATTTTATGTAACTATGTTACTGCCAGTTCTTAGTTACTACGTATGTACGCTATATAATTTGTGTACTCAAATACAATTTGTTGTTGAGGCATCTTTTATTAATTTTTATATTTTAGAAAGTTTTTTTATACCTTTATAATCGATTATTGTATTGTCAAAATATTAAAATAAGCAGGTCATTAGTTATTACAATATTTTCGAAAAATATTTACTATTTAACGTCGTTATTAGTACACTTAATACCCCATGATAGTCTAATACAAGTAGTGTTTTATTTTATTACATTCAATCTTATATTTACTTTATTTGTTAGAACTTAATTATTCCTCCTTGGGCTGCTCCCCAGAGATTAATTACAGAAAGAAAAATTAACAAAACGGTATTTGGCAGAGAAATATCGAAGAATTAAAATGCATAATATAAGCAATATATATATATATATATATATATATATATATATATATATATATATATATATATATATATATATATATATATATATAATTGTCAGCGATTAGTAATTATTGCTTTGTGTTTATATTTTTAAACATAACATATTGTTGAATGCATTCATACACACGGCGAGTCTTGAATTGTTCAAATGTATACGATGTATACTTTTCTCAATTTTTAGCGATTTTTGTTTGAATAAATGAATTTGATGTTAAAATTATTTTTTTATTATTTCACTTTATATGTAGCGAAGCACGTACCGGGCCGCTAGTATTATATATTTATTACTATACACTTACGACTAAAAATCTGAACCATTTCTACACTTTACAGGGTTCTCTTTTTTATACCTACTTTATTTTTTATAAAGTTATAAGTTAATATAATATACATATAGTAATAATAATATTTATTATTTTCAAATTCAATACTTTGTTTGTCATTTTGACACTTTGAACTGCCATTGGGAAACAGGGTGTTGAATTTCTAGCATTCGATATCACATACTTCTAGCATATGCTAGAAATTGGACATATTTATAAATTTATTATTTTCACCCTAATAATTTCATGTATAATAAACTAGCAAACCGCTTCGGCTTTATATGGGTAACGGGTGTAAATTAATAAATATAAACCTTCCGTAAAAACCCACATCAAAATCTGTTGCATGTTTTAACATAACTTAGCAAAGAAAGAGACAGACAAAGGCAGTATTTTTATTTTAAACTATTTATATATTAGTAATTTATTCTGGATAATGTTAGATAAGTATATAATTATGATAACAAAGAATATAATAAATTCGAACTTATAATGCATACATTCCTTAATCCATATATAATAAACAGATAAAAAATATAATAAAAATAAATGTATGATAAAAATACTGTTGATTTGATCAATTTTGAAACTCTGTACGAATATGTTAGAGTAGCACACATATTTCAATGGCTCCCCAAAGGATCTCTGCCCTTAGGATTATGAATCAAAGAAAAAATATCTGTGTGGTTCTAACAGTGGGTGATAGGTCAGACATGAGAAGATAAAACAACGATCCCGCTAATATTCATGAATTATTGTTATTGAGTACGTGCTTGGAAAGCACAAATTTCAGGTTCATCATAGATCCATTTGTTCTTCTATAAATAACAAACGGATAGTATTCAGCTGTAGGATTTTTTGCAAATTGTTAGCTAATATTGATGTAACTATTTTCAAAACTTACTAATAAAGACTTTTTTTTAAAGTTCGAAAGTTTAATAAAAAGGAATTTGTATTTTTTTTCAACATATTGAAAATAATTGAAATACATAAATCTTAGTATTTCTTTTTACTTCAACTTTTGACTCTAAATATATTTTTATTTACATTACAGAAAAATACTTATTGAAAGATTATTTTTATATTTTAAAAAAATTAACACTATTTATAAGTGCATACAATTAACATTATAATAATTACTAAGAATATAATAAGAATATTAAACATAAATATTTTTTTGTAAATAAATAATACTTTTTTTACATTTTTTGGCTTGGCTGGAAAGTTAAACAGAAAAAAAATTAAACACAAACTTTTAGGAGCCGCTTGTAGTTTAATTGAAAACCCCATCTGGTGTCAAGTAAAGAGTTTCTAGGATGCCTTCAGTATACGAATATAGAGGTCAATGGCTTACTTTATATTTAACCTTATATATAAACATATAGTAACAATGCATTTTAATGAACCCAAACATGAATTTAAATAATTCAAAATTTAGTACTACAAAAAATTGTGATGAATACGGTATGGGATAATATAAAAATAAAGTAAATAAACCCTATTACTTTTATTAGCAGCGTAACTGAATAATAATTATGCTAACAACGACAGTCTCTATTCTGGTAATAAACAGATGACCTATATATTGATAGCCAATCAGAAATTAACCCATGGTTTCCAAGAAAAACCGTATGGTAGTCAACCTGATAGAATACGGATATCAATAGGGCTACTAGTATCCGAAACTAACAACGTTCTTAATCAATGCCATTTGTCTACTATTGCCGTGGAGAACGTAACGCCAAACATACTCGCTATCATTTTGCCAACCATACAATAATTTAACGTGACAAGAAGCAAGTCTACCGACATCACTCTAAATAATTTCGTTTGTTATCAGCGTTTGTGTTGCCGAAGAATTGGAAATTTAAATTGACAAAATTTTTGTTGCCCGCCAAATTCGAACTCACGAACTTTGCGGTCTATAAATTTGTGAAATAAGTCGATACGGAACCCTAGCCTCAGTGTGTGTCCCCAACTGGCACTTGATCAAATTTATATTATAAAATTTTGTTTTCCTCATTTTTCGGTGTAACTTCTATTCCGTCTAGGTAAATATTTGAATAGCAAAGTTGGTAATGTAGGTAAAACGCAGATTTCCCTCTAGACCAATATATTTACTTGAAAATTTCTTTTATTGAGCTACCTAATTGGTTATTAAACTTTGTTCGTATTACATGTACAAAAGATCGCATTTGACTATCGGTGCCAAGTATATATATATATATATATATATATATATATATATATATATATATATATATATATATATATATATATATATATATATATATATATATATATATATATATATATATATATAATATAATAAACAGATTTAAAATATACAGTGAAATACAGTACTTATATTAAACAAATTATAAATATAATTGTGAGAGACTGGTGCCTTAGAATATAAGAATACCTGTAAGGGCCTCACTCCGCAGGGTTACTTACTAAGCACTTGTAATAATAATATAATATTATATAAATTAATAAAAATATTGCTTATTCAAGTAAACTTAATTATAAGCATTTTTGAATAGCCATTTTTTATGAGCACACCGCCTAGTTCTATCCAAAAAAAAAGTTTTCTTGTATAATAAACGAAAAGCTAATTGCCTTTTTCACACGAATAAGGTAATTAGCTTTTTATCAACCACTAACAATAGGGGGGATAGGGATTGTTAGTAATAGGGTCAAATAGCCTCATTATTAGCAATATACCCTGTCAGGTTGTGGTTCCCCGACGTGGTTCCCCCTGGAAACCATCGTGATTAATTCTAGTTGAATTCGTTAGGATGAGCTAACTGACTTGCTTTCATCCTCATCAGTCATCTATCTCTGGTGCCCCGCTAGTATATACCGATAGCGTAGACGGGGTTACCATACCATTATCATTCATTAAAAAAACTACTAACAGTAATTTGCGGCTCTCTTTATTTTTTTCAATCAAGGATACTTATAGATAAAATAAAATATAAAATGCCATTTATGCATAATAACACCTAAGTCCTCAGGAATGGCAACACATGGGGGGTATTATGGGC